GACCAGCCCTGCTATATGCTGTGTCACTATTCTAGCAATGCAATTGATGGCCATACGAGCTATTCAGTCAATAAACACTATACAATTAAATACCAATCTTGTCTGTATGTTTTGCCACTGACCTCATTCTGCTCTAAACCTGGTGGTTTTGTTCTGTTGGTTTGTTTTTATCATTTAGATTTTGAGTGCAGCAGCCACGGATGAAGATACAGGCTACAATGCCATTATTCATTACACCATAATTGGAGAGACTTCTTCATTTCATGTTGGTGAACTTTCTGGAAATATTACAACTCTTCAGCCTCTGGACTATGAAAGTCATTCCCAGTATACATTTATCCTGAAGGCTTTCAATCCTGGAGAGCCGTATCTTCAGGACACAGCAAACATTACAGGTAGCTCTAGTTTACCACGGAAAATTTACCTTAATTTCCCTTAGGGAATATTTCAGCATGTGTAATTATGAGATACAAAGATAGCCTTCAGTAGTAATACGGTCTGCTAAAGTAAATTATCAGAATGATGATGTGACGTTTTCACTATAGCCAGATGAAATTTTTCTCAAAAAATGTTTAGTTCATCAGAAATTAAGATTTTTCACACAAACTGACATTACTTACTTCAATCTATTCACAAATTATTCTATGGCATTTTTTGAGTACCTATTGACTTCTTGATTGAAAAGTTTTCCAAAAATATAATTCAGTTGTTTTTCTGATTGTTTGCAGAAAGCCTGCTTCTAGGGTGATAAAAAATGTGGGCGATTTTTAGTGTTGTTAAAATAACAGTACTTGGTTGCTGTTGGTTTTTTCCTTTTAAAAAAAAATTATATCTTTTTTCCCTAGCACAACATAAAATATCTCTGTGAAATTGGTATCCTAGTTCTTGGCCAACCCTACTTTTGATCCATAGGACTGGAAGTATTGGTTAGTTTATTACTTCCTCTTCTGTGTTATTTACGTCACTGTACAGCCAGCTTCACTAGTGGTGGGCCATGACCCCATTGTACCAGGTCATGTACAAATATAAAACTGAGCAATCCTGTCTCACAGGGCTTGCAATCTAAGCCAAAGATTAGAGATGCCAGATGAATATGGATACAGGAGGGAGCCCAACAAAACAATAAGATGATATTATTCATGACAGATAGTAGAGAAGGCATGCTAGCCCGAAGTGCAGACATTGTGGGAAACTATTGCTTGACCAGTAAATAATTTAATCCTTGAAGGCAAGCATTTTGAAAACAAGGTTACCATCTGGTTTAAATTGAAAGAGCTCCATCTCAATTCAGAGGAGCTATGCTTGTTTATATTAACTGAAGGAATAGCTTGTAACTGTTGAGGTGAAACTAATTTTTACACTCAGACATGGACCTTCTCTTCTTAGTTACCGTGGAAGATGTTAACGAAGAAGGACCCGTATTTGACAAGCCCTCATATTACCAGATCCTTCCAGACAATTCCACAGCTGGCACACTGGTAGTAGATATCAATGCAACAGATGAAAGCAAGGGTTATGATGAAGGCATTTTCTACAGTATTTCAGGTATGTTAGAGAAAAAAATCTTATAGGTGTTTATTACTGGGATACTTGCACACTGATAAACTAAGCTGCATGACAGAAGAATGAGATACAATAGCCATAGATTGAAATGGCAGGCTCTGACTGGATATAAGGGGAACAAAAATCCTCTGTGGGGCTAACTAAGTACTGGAACAGGTTGCCCAGAGAGGCTGTCCTTGCAGGTTTTCAGCAACTGATAGATCAAAGCCTTGAGCGACCTGCTCTGATTTTATTCATGACCCTGTTTTGAGACAAGAGGTTGGACTAGAGGCTTCACAAGGGCCCTTCCAGCCCAAATGATTCTGTGACACAGACACAGAATCAAGAGAAGCCAGGTGTCTTGCTCCAAATCAAGCATACAGATTAGGATTTCAACCTGTGTCTCTTAAATCCTGAGCATGTAATTCAGTCACTTGTGTCTGCTGGCTGTGTTGAACATCTCCAACACTTGTTTTTCTGTCTTCAGGTGGAAACTCAGAAGGCCTCTTTAATCTTTCCACTAACACAGGAGTACTCACGTTAACAAGAGATTTATCCAAACAGACTGTTCCCCTGTATTACTCCTTGACAGTCACTGCTATGGATTCAGGTCTGCCACCTCTTTCAACTTCTGTAAAGGTACTAAAATTTTTACCTTAGCATCTACTTGTGTAGTTTATTCTCCTGATTTGTTTTATTCTAAACTAAGTGAAACTACACCAGGAAATAAGTATTAGTGAGGATGCAAAATGGGAAGCAGAATGTCAGTCCCACTTCTGTTTCAGGAACAAGATACAAGATAATTAACAAAGTTATGCCGCTATAGCAATTGCTGGCACACCACCTGTCTTTGTTTTGATCACTCCACTTCCAAAAAGAAAGAAAAAGCTCTAGACTGTGAGGGAGGAAGCTTAGAGGAGCGGAGGCTTCTGTGCAAGGTCAAAGCGTGGGACAGAGGGCATGTAATGGAAGTATGTGAAAGAATGAGCAGGAGATGGCAAATAAGATGCTCCTGTTTATTTTCCTATAATACAAGAAAAAAAAAAATTCTAAATTGAAGACTGAGAAATGTAAATATGATAAAAGAATTTTTTTTTTTACACAGTGCTTATAACTGGCTGATGATCTTTTGCCATTAAATATCACAGATTAGCAGAATTAAAAAAAAAGACTGGAAACGTATATGGATAAAGATATGTAGAAAATTATACTCAACAGAACCTTAAAATATAGACTTATGAGCCATCATTCTTCAAAGTATGGGACAGCAGCTGTCTGGCATCATTTAGAAATAAATTACCTTTATTTTTGTGAAGCAGTAAGTGTTATTTATTCACTGCCTGTCTCCTTTTTTTTCATATATAAAGTAAGTTATAATAATTTTAAAATACTGTATTTACAAGCTCCTGCTCTGGTCATACATTCTCCAGTGGAAGAATTTGTTGCAAATACAGTACCCCTCTCTGAGAGCTGTTTAGCAAGACAAGTCACTTGAGATGTGCTGTACCTGATGAAACGGAATCCCTCTCTATATTTAGGAAAGTGTACAAGTGAACCTAAGCTGATGAGATTGCTGGCAATTTTTCACTAACCTTTGCTGCCTTCAAGGCACTCATGTGTCAAACTCAGCATGCAGCAATCATAGGCTTTTTCTTACTGACAAAGTTCTGGACTTCTGCCATTGCATACCTCAATAGAAAAGTCTGCTAAACCTGAAAACATACCCTCTGGGGTCCTGTCCTTTTCTCTGCAGGTGTCAGTGATGATAGCTCCCATCGACATCTCATTCCCAGTGTTCTCTGAAGCGGTGTATCAGCCTGCCCCTCTGAGTGAGAAGACGCTGCCAAATACATTTGTTGTACAGATCAGCGTGTCGTATAAGGTCCCTGTGGTATACAGTATTGTCCCCGGAGATGAAAAGGGTAAGCTCTTTATGTGAAATGGCAAGGAAGAGGGTGTGTTAAACAACTAGCCCTGCAGAGCACTTAGCTTTTGGATTGTTTCTTCTCTCTCCTTCTGCTTTTATCTCAGTTCTACAGACATTAATACTGGATGTGTATTTACCAGATGTACAAATTTGGTATGGATCAGGTGTGGGCACATGATTGAATTTCTGTCGGATTACCTAGAGCTACATGATACAGAGCTGACTGCACCAGCTGTATGCTTTTTTATGTCTGCTACAGGAAGACCAGGTGGTACCTGATCAGGCATAAAGTTACAGTGACTGGCGAAAGAATACTTAATTCAGCATAAAGACTGCTGGTAGAAAAACTAACTCAGCAACATTTTCTTAACAAATGCGAATGCATAGAGTAAGTTTACATGGGATCAAGTAGATCAGTGCTTTGTCACATGTCACACATCTTTTTTTACTAAACATAGAGCTGGTTTTATTGAATCATCAAACACGCATGCTTTATATTTCTTTTTTGTAAAGTGTTTTGTTTGAAGTTGTGATCTCCCTAAAGTTATTTGCAGAATTCCTCATCTTCAGCAAGAACAGGACTTCATAGGAAATAAAATAATTTCTGACTGAAACAGGGACAAACTGACTGTTTCAGAGGAATGCGAAGACCTCCTGACTGGAGAGTGGTGGAGTGAACTTCTCCCCTTTGGTTCCCAGTGGACCTTTTCAATTATTTGGTTTTGTTAATTACAGCCCTGGATATATCTGACATTCTCATAAATCCGTGTTGAATTTTCTTTTGTTCTTTGAAGACTACTGTAACATACGATATACACAATGTACAGTTTGCATTGAAGGGGTCATATCTTCAGGTTTAACTAATAAAATCATAAACAGAATAATTTCTATTTTTCTTAAATAGGGTATTTCACTATCGATTCATTCACTGGTGTCATAAGAACAAGAAAGAACTTGAAACCGGAAGATTTTCCAGTAATTTTCAGTGTGCGGGCAACAGATTCATCTCATGCCAGCATATTTAATGAAGCTTTTGTGAATGTGGAAGTTATTGACGAAAATGATTTCCCTCCAGTTTTCCCATACTCTTTACTAGAAGAAAGATTGGAAGAGGTAAGAAAATGGCCTCCAGACTGAATCACAATAATAATTATTATGATGATAATAAAAATAACAATAATAATGATGACAATAATAATAATTATGATGATGATCTTTTGGTAAGCATACAAGTAAACATTCTGGCACCAGACAGGGTTGCCATTCTCTTCTGCCATATCATGTTTTAAGGTTTATTTCAAGCTGAAAATCACAATACATGAAGAGAATGGTCTAGAAGTGTGGACATATTGAAGGAAAAGTGAATCTTTTGCAAATAAGGGGCTCCATGAAGGAAAAACAGCCACTCCCTTTTGCATATTTGTACACAGAGAATATTCTTGTGCATTTGAAATCTAGTGGATGTGCTGGGCACCTCATAGACTCTCACTCAGCCTTTTGTAAGGGAGCATCATACAGAGAAGTAGCAGGCAAAAGTCTCTGATTTAGCAACACTTCTCCTCTTGCTCATGTACAATCTGTTGTGATTCTTCCTGGCACAAAGTAATCGGCAGCAGAAAGCAAGCCAGATTTCAGTCTGTGGCTGTTACCTTACGATAGCCGACAAAAGAAGCCACAGCATTTAATTATGCAAAAGCATCTAGCTCCACATCTCATTCTTCAGTTTTCAAACAACACTTTTCATGCTTTAATCTGCTAGCTACTTTTTAAAAAGGAATTACATTGATCATGTTTACATTTTATGTAGCGCGTACCTTGCCTTTGAGATTCCCAGTTGATTCACACACATTGTCTTTATCAGGTACAACTGATTTAAAATCTAGTCCATTTCTAAGATTGAGTTAAATATAGGTTTAATTATTACACCTATTTTTAATGTTCCCAGTTAGTTTAATGGAGCAGAGTTAGAATCACATTTCCCAACCTCAAAAATTGATTTCAACATGAAATATTTACCCAGTAAGAATTGCTGGATGCCCTGTTGGATCAAATAACTTCAGATCAGGTCTCAAATGGCTGTGCAAGTGAAATGCTGATATTTACTGTCAATCTTGATGCAAACGATATTTTTAAAAAGGAAGAAGTAGATTACTTATTTTGAAAAGAGTAATTATTAGCCAAATAGTGTTCAGAAAGAAACATGATTTTGAAGTTGACAACATCCATTGAGTTTCACAGGTGTAGAGACTGTTAAACATGAATAATTCCTCAACAGCAAGTCAGATGCTTGAGGTTAACATTTGGCCTTTTTGAAATGATGGTGATTTTTCTTCCCAAAGATTGCTGCTGTAGGTAGAGGCATGGGGGAGGAAATAGTTCTTTTCTGTAAATTAGGGAAAACAAGAAATTTTCCTACTGTGCTGAACGAATTGTATAGTTTGATTTTAAAATATCTATGCTATTGTAAGCGTATGCAGTAACTGTTAATTGCCCCCACCCCCCTTCACATAATATTGCAGCTAACCACTCTCTGACTGCCTCAATCTGTTCTTCATCCACAGAATTTACCTGCTACTCAGATCATCCAGCTGAAAGCTCAGGATAATGATACGGGTAGAAATGGTTTGCTAACATATGGTATTCTTAGTGGAGACAGACTAAAATTCCGGATAGATGAAGCAACTGGAATTCTTTATTCCACTGCCTCCTTTGATTATGAAGAGGAACCTACAGAGTATCAGGTTTGCTTTAGATTTCTTAAGTCCTCGTTACTGAGAACACTTCAACTTTCCCTTGGTTAAGAGATGGCACTTTTGGTTTTGTTTAGCTTGGCATTGCTTGAACACTTTATGCGTTGTTTTAGAATATGAGCATCTCAAGATGTGATGCATTATTAAAGCCTTTAGATTACAATGAAATTCAAGCAAGGCTTATTGTTTACCTGTCCTACAAACTGTCAACACTTCAGCACATGAATAACTAACAGTTCACAAGAAAAGCTCAAGTATTAAGTGCTGTCTGTTTGCTTGAATCTGTACTGGACTGAGATCTTTCAGATACAATTCTTGGTTAATTTTCTTTATTGTTGCTGCCACTGCTGGGCATCTTTCATGATCTTGTTTTGCTTCAACCAAAAATATTGGTGAATTTGTTCGTTCTACAGAAAAAGACTTTGATCCAATACTACTTAAGCTTTCAGTAATAATTTTGAGGGGAATGCAGAATTCACTTTACATTTCTAAGAATACTCCAAAGTTTAAAATTCACCAAAATATTTTTTTAATCCTATGTAAGTATCTATTTGTATGATTTCTCATTACCAGTAATTGTGTGACTTACAGGTTGTGATATATGCTGAAGATGATGGAATCCCTGAGAAGAAACGAGGTTACTGCACAGTTGTCATAAAGATCGTTGATGTTAATGACTGGTCACCTCTCTTTGATCCAGTGACTGAATTCAGTGTGAATGAAAATGCGCCTGTGGGATTCATAGTTGGAAAAATCACAGCAACGGACAGAGACACTGGAGACAATGCCTTTGTTCTATATAGCCTTACAGGTAACAAGAAATTCTCTCACTGCAGTGGAACAACTGTCACTGTGTTGTCTGTACTGTTAGAAGCATAAATAGCATTATGTGTGTTATCTCCTAACCCCTTTCCACATAAGCCACGAAGGTTAGCTTTGACCTAGTTTGGTATTTTACTAATTTATGGTTATACAAATTTCAAACTGATTGACTAGGAACTTCTTTCGCAGAAACTACAAATTGTTGTGCTTTTAATCATTCTTTTAATTCTGCTAAAAATCAGCTTTTTAAAAAAATCTTTAGATACTCGACTGCTGTAGTTGTAATCAGCGGGAATAATTTTGACAGAAAAAGATGCCCGTAGCTTTCCTGAGTGAGGTCTAGGGCCTAATTCATCCCTGCCTTGTAGAACCCGTTGTGCCTGTGCCAAGTGTTAAACACTGCTAAATTAAGCCGCTCCTCAGGTTATGGACTGTGAGCATTTCACAGCTTACAAGGAGCAGACGTAAATGGTATCGCAAGTGTGTCAGGGACCTGCTTCACTATTGGGGGCTGCTGGAGAGCTGTATTCTTCACCCTTTTGGACACCTTTACCTCTGCAGCAGAAGTGCCACAACAGACAGCAGGTCACCTACTCTGCTACCTCAGATCTCTGCCCAGACTGTGAATATAGAGTGCCTTCAATTTCATTTTACATTAATGCACCAGCTTGTGAACTGCAGTGACTAGGAGCTCTGATTTGTGCTTCCTGTCACATTTAACTGTGGTAGCTGATGGCATTACAGTTAAGAAGAGCGCCCATTTTGCCACTGCCTTTAAATCTGACAGAGGTGGAGCTTTAGACCCCTCTGGACCAAAGTCTGCAGGAGTTGAACTAGTTGTTTTTGTTGTATGGACCATCAACAGCAATGTGTATACAGTTTATATGTTTTTGGAGTCTTTTATTTCCAATATGCACTCAGACTTTGAGGCTGCTTTGGACAAAGGTGGCCAGAACCATGAAAGTCACTGCCAGGTCTTTTGGAAGTCAGACGGATTTCTCTTTAGATCTGTGTGCCACTCAGTCCACCTTCATTAGAGACAGAATAAATTCAGTGACATCTCCTCTTAGAGATCTTGGCAGGAGCACTGTCTTGTTACAGTGCTTCATGACCGTTGCAACCAGCAAACATGCGACTGAACATGCAGGTCAGGACTGTAAAAGTGCCTGGGAACACCTCTAATCTCCTCTAAGAGTTGCACAGGCTTAGAGGAACTTGCTTCCAGAGATTCACGCCAGAACTCCAATGTGCTCTTCCTCATCATTTGTGTGCCTCAAGCACCACTGCTTTTTGAGTGTGGCAGATGTATATGCAAACCTATTAACCCTTTCTGACCCGTATTTCAAATGCTCATCCACTCAAAATATTTTCTGTTTTTCTTCTACATTATCTATATGATATTTAAAAAAAATGTTCTAAGGAGCTCAAGACACAAGGTTAACCCATTCTGACCCATATTTCAAATGCTCACCCACTCAAAATATTTTCTGTTTTTCTTCTACGTTATCTATATGATATTTAAAAAAATGTTCTAAGGAGCTCAAGACACAAGTAAACATATAATTTAAAAGCATAGTTAATTATGTGCTCTAAGATGTATTAATTGATAATGCTTCTTTATAAATGTATCTCAGGTGGTGGAGGAAATATATTTGAAATAGATGAAATACATGGCAACATTAAGATAAAGACCTCTCCGGACTATGAAACCATGAATAAATACAACCTCACAGTGAATGCAGTCAACAATAAATCTGCCCCTTTCCATCAGGTAAAAGACCGTTATTGTAATGAACAGCGACTCATTCAGAGTGGATTTTGAACTAGTGGGAGGGAGATCGATCAAAGACATTTATTGTGTGAAACAAATTAGTCACCTAATCATGTTTAGGGTCAGACTTTTGTGACCTTCGTCCATGCTGAGTAGTATTATACTACATAATTAGTTGAAATACTTCAAAATCATGCATGGTAGAATTTGACCCTGAATTGTTTGCACACTAACCTGTGCTGGGGAACTGGAATTCTTGCCTGCTGCTGTTAGTGCTGTAAGTGCCCTGATAATTTTTCATGGGAGAAAAAGTAATTTTCAGCAAATTGTTCCAGTTCTGCTGTATTTCTTTTACTTGAAAAGATATTACACACTTATTTAACAGAATAGCAGCAGTAGGACATGCTGGCCTCCTAAACACAACCTGTTCTTACTCATTCAGACACCTTTCAAGAAGTAGAATCCTACTGCAACGTTGAATTCCTGCCCCTCTTGTACTAAAATCCTGTAGTGATCTCTGATGTTTACTTCACAAAATTAAACTTACAGTATTTCACTACGGCATTTTCAAAGTCAAATTTATACTTTGTTGCATATGCAAATAACAAAAAAAAATCTCTAAAGACTCTAAATACCCTAAAATGCATGAAACCATTTTGTTTTATAGGCAACTACTCATGTCACTGTTCTAGTGATTGATGTGAATGATAATGCTCCAGTATTTGCTCAGAATTCCTATTCCGCTTCCATAAACATGATTAATCCTGTAGGTGCTCATGTCATAACTGTGAGCGCTACCGACAAAGATCAGGTAACTACGCGTGTTTGATTTTGACACCGCTTTAAGCTGCAGTCCAAATACATTTTTCTCCGTTCTCTAGGCATGAAATACCAAATGTAGCAGAAACTGAATTCTGATTGACTAACAGCACTGGGAATTGGAAATGAGAACTTTTGATGTTTCTGCCTTGACACTGATGTACTCCCTGTCTTTGGGCGTGTTTCTTCAGCTGTATTTGCCTTAATTTTTCCCCTTATTATACGGAGTTGTACTGGTCTTTTGGAAGTATACAAGGACTGAAGTAATTTAGTGTCTGTGAAGTTATTTGAACTTCTGAAATAGAAGAATCTCTAAAAGCTAAACATTATATAGTTGACTTGAGCATGGAAATGTCTACTTACCAAACATCTCTGCCTTGTGGTATCCCAGCCAATTCTCTCTGTCCCCATTCTTTAAAGTAATTTTTTTTCAGTATATCTGTACTGCACCCATCAAGTAGTATCCAAGCACTGGCAGAGATGTCCAGTAATCAACCAGATCACCATGACAACATCACTACTAATTATGTCATTTAAAAGATGAAACATCTAGAAGTGACAAGTAAGTAGGTGTAGCAGGTGCCTTCCTATTTCGTCTTGCATCATTTTGGTTAAAATAGCTGCAGCTGTGGTATTTTGCTGCAAATAATCTAATGGCACCTTTTAAAATCATCCATCTCAATGATTTTTTTTTTTTTTTTATAAAAAGTGAAGTTGTTTACAAAAGTTGGTGGACTCTGAGATATGCATTGGGACCCTAATGAAACTCATCCTTCAGACAATAGGTCTGGTCCTCTGCCGTGTAGAGTGCCACTCATCCTTCCTGTTGTGCCACCTTTTCAGGATGCTAGGGCCAAGTCCAGCACTGAAGTTGTTAGTCTTTGTCTCTGTTCCTCCCTGTTCCTGAAATAATTGTAAGTCTACAGATTACTTAGTGGCAACAGATGTTCATGGTAGGGTTTGATCCTGCTGCTGCAGAGCCATAGAAGAACAGAATACAATGCTTTTCAGAAATACAGATCCAAGTGCAATAGAGCAAATCCTAAGGGTTTGTCAAAATGGCTTGTCCCAGGAAAGTAATGTGCATAGAGTAAAATGTGCCAAACCCTCCTGTGGCAGGCAGGAATAGGGCTTACCCTCACAGCAGTGGGGAGGCTGTGCTTCTCCTCGAGGTGTGGAAAGGATCCAAGTGACTTTGGCTTATTATTATTGACATCACACCTTTAGATCACTCTCACTACTCAGACTGCCCCCCTCTACATGTGTCATTGACTTAATTTCATTAGAGAATTTTTTTTTTCACATTTTTACTGTGTAAGTGGGCAACTGCTTGTGCATTTTCTTCTGCTTTGTGTTTTTATCAGCACCCATCCTACCATAGCTAACCCCAAGTTTTTATTCTCGAAATAAATTCACCATTCTTGAAATAAATTTGCTAGAGACATTTAAAGATCATCAGATCTCTTGTTTTAGTGTTTGTCCTATGCTTCAAAATGTACTCCCAGTGCATGTAGTTCTTCAGTATTGCCATGGGAATTTTTTTGGATCTTTGAACATCAGAATTA